TGCACGGAGCTGGTTCCGGAACTACATCGGCAGACCCGATCCGATAGGTGGCGAACCGATCGGGCAATGGAGGAATCAGTCCGGAACCAGCGTGAGTGCGCGCCCGCGCGCACGCTTGAATTCAAATGGGAAGGTGGCCGGAAGGAAAACGAAGGGAGTTTTCCTCTGGTAAAGAAAGGGGGAAGTGTGAGGAATGGAGTTTCCTCACAAGGGAACCAAGTAAGGCTTAAGAAGAGAATTCACGGCGAATTCACAAGAGAGTGAGAGCCGGCCGGGAGCCGGGTTCCGTTAGAGTGGCAGTGGTCCAACGCATGACCATGTATAGGCATGAGATCATGCCTCCGGACGAGCCCGTGGAGAGAGTCGGGAATGGAGGAGCACGCAAGGAGCGGCGCTCACGTCAGGCTAGGAACGGCGGGAGCGGGCCGGCAGCGGTCCAGCGCATGTCCATGTATGGACATGAGATCACGCCACCAGCCCGGTCCCGTTAAGAACCTGAGGGAATCAAGCGAAGAGGCCGATGGAAAATTACCAGCGGCGCACGGATTTACCACTGTTGCTAGGCAGAGGAGGAGGATGCTAGCGTCGAAGCGAGGGTATAAGAGGAGCCCGGCAACAGCGAAGGAATACAGTCAGTAGAGTGCGAGCAACGAGGAAAAAGCGCGAACACAAGCGAGTGCGGTAGAACAACTGACAAGGAGAGTCAACGTGAGAGTCCAAGGAAGAATCAAAGTGACCCAACCAACAGGCAGCAGTACGACCCAGCAAGGGGAACAAGGTCTGCGAAGTGCCAAAGGAGGGACGACAGGTACCGCTATCGCCAAGGCGATCAAAAGCGACTCAGTGGGTGCGGAGTTGTGTGTGTAGATCAGGCGTGAGCCAGGTCAGACGCATAGCCACAGCACCAGCAAGGAGCCTGAGGGGCCGGTGGCGCGAGAGCGTATAGAAATAAAGAAACGATTCGTTGTTATATAGAACTTAACATCCCATAAGTATAAGATACCAATAAAATACCCACAGCCAGTAATTAAACCCACCCGTGCATTCTCTCGTGTCTGTGAGGCAACATACAAATTTGTTGCAACGAACCGTCGGCCGCTGAGCCAGCCTCGCTGATTTAGACGGACAGAAACAGTTCGTTACAGAATTTTTCACATAGATGACTTGAGACGGGGATAGGTCTAAAAATCCGTCGATAAAGTCATTTCGTGACAATTGAACAAGGGCATTAGACTCGTTTACCGAAGACCAAACAGTACCTGGCAAATTGAAATCACAAAGAACTATCATACGGTGATGCTCGTATATTTAAATATCCGAGTAAGGTGGAATATACGAGCAAGTAATAAAAATGGAAAAGCCTGGGGGAATCAGTTTTACGAGCAGGTATTCCAGGTCTTGTTGAACCTGGACTATGTAATGTTCCGACGTGACGTTTGAGTCCACTGCAATGAGGTCCCCACCTCCACGTCGAGATGAACGGTCATTTCTTAAAATTGTGTACCGACCTGCCAAAACTTCGGAACTAAGGATGTCCGGCTTTAACCAGGTATCGGTAAACACAATAACGTGGGACGAGAATGCGAGACTCTCAAGAAAAAGAGTGCTGAGCTTACTTCGCAAGCCTCTAGCATTCTGGTAGGTAACTAAAAGAGAGGAAGTTATTTTTTTTTGATGGGTGGAAGTAGAGGTGGAAGATGGGGGTGGAGATGGAGCACTGGTCTTAGCAGGTTTTTTTGGCACAGACGACAGAAAAATCCATAATGGTGTCTTTTAATTTTTTTAATTTTTAATTTTCGAGAAAAAAAAGTTCAATACAAATAGCAATCAGACCAATGTGCAGTGCAAATGCTTAGAGCGATGCTTAAAGCGAAATCGGTTAAACTGATATGAGAGAGGAGAGGGGTTGCAGAAACAGCTTATAACTGAGAGCGCTACTGCACAGAAACTGCGAGAGAGAAAGAACAGTTATTGAGATTTAGGTGATATAAAGAGAGTGATAGACGGCAATAGCTACGGCAAAGAGCGGCTAAATGTAATGAGAGGGCGTACTTACGAAAAGCAAAAACACAAACACACGACTAACCGACGTCTGGTCACTACGAAAGAGAACGAACGATGTGAGCTACATCTGTTATCTACATATACATCTACAATGTCGATTCCACATCTGAAATGTAGATTATACATTAGCCTGGGCCAAAATTGAAAATTAACCGGATGACGCTATTAAATTTTGTTCAAATCGGTCAACTATATCATAAGGCATCTATAGGCCCGATCAGTCAAAAATTTTCGGATATATATTATATCTTAAAGATAATTTAATGCATTAGAACTCCAGAGCATATGTAAGAAATTAATACATATTCAAGTTATTCAACATCAGCACACGTTTTGGTAGCGACCTTTTTGTTTTACCCAACAGAGAGAATGGTTCTTCTTGGGATGGACTTTTCCTAAATATTAAATTAAATTAAAAAGCCATATGCAGATCACATTGGACATTCCGCATTAGATATACTTTTAAGAATGTATATTAAAAGGAATTAAAACTTAAGCTCTTTCGTACAAAAAGTTGCACTCCACCAAACACTGCAGTGCGTGTTTGAACCATGTTAACACATGTTATCAAACTTCATAAACTAATTTTTATAAATAACTTGAAACCTTTAAATTGATAATCCACAATAAATTTTTGTTAAACTTTGTCTGTTAACTTTTTGTTAAAATTTTACCAGCATCACTAAAGCGCGCCAAAAGTTGATTTCTTTATCTGATGCACTATATGGTCGGTTTGACACCTCACAGTTGCGTGAACAATATGAGCAAAACAAAACGGCAATTTTTTTTATACTCACTGAACCATTGGCAATCGATAGGGCACTAAAAATTTAATAGATTATGCTATAAATTTTGAATTATATGGAGCTAGATTGGCTATTTCGTCTACTGTGGGGCGGGGCGAAATTTTGAAATGCTTTACCACAAATCTAATATACCCCTTAATGCCCACTGCACACTGAGCCCTTCCCGGGGGAATGGTGGGATATTTTGAAAGATGTGAAACAACGATTCACACTGACATCATCCACAATCTACCATCCACCATCCATGAGAAACAGCAGATGCTTATATATGCGTTCGGTGAAAACTTGTTCACATTTATATTTAAAATGAATATAAATAACATTGCAATGGTTGTGAATGTGATTCAGCACATGTCCAGTCTTGCTGGACATGGATGATGATGGTGAGGCTAACATTGACAAGGAGGAGATATTCGAATGGATATCTGTTTTAAAAACACTGAAGCGTTATCATTTGTTACTTGTTCTACTAAATCCAATCAATGTTTTAAATACAATTATATATTCTATGTTTTTTGAGAAGCGGTTTGAGACATTTTAGGAGAAAGATGTACCCGAAAAAAACGAGTAATGTTTTGTAATGCTATAGACTTTGGACTCTTTTTGTGAGTACAGAATAGTCGGAAGGCTGTCAGCGTGTGCAATATCCTGCATGCCTTCTTTTTAGAGCATTCATAAGAGAGAGGATCCCAGAGGATTGTCCATAAACCGAGTTTTTGTGCCTGAGACAATTCTGACATATCAGATGTTTTGTTGTCGTTTTTTACCATTTTCCTGTCTGTCCTTGTTTACATTTTCGTAGTGAATTCCGATTTTGTGTTGTTAAGCCTAGTACTCAGACGCACTAAATTTTCAGTCGACCGAAAGTGCTATATATTCCGCTCGGTTCCTAGTGTGACCTAAGTTGGCAAAATTTATGCTCTACGGTTACACTGTTTGGTGTTTGTTTACAAACAGAAATCTGTTTGAATTTCAAATGTTTTGCTAAAGTAAGCAGAAATGTCTTATTTGTGGGCGCTGTGGAGCTGGAGGGCGATAATGCACACGGCACTATTGAATAAATCCGATCATGCAGGAAAGATATGCAATCAACATGGTTTTAATTTTCTTTTTAAAGATTAAAATGAGTAAAATTAATAAATAATAATATCCATATAATCTGTATTCATTCGACTCCCTAATTAAATTTAATTTATCTTCATTATTGCACTTTTTTAGTTGGCTTGCACTTGTTTCCATCCATATTTAATGTGTGTGTGTTGTGTGTGTTTTTGTGTCATGTCATTAGACGACGGAAGATGAAAATTTTCAATGTTCCGATCGAGATGGGAAAATACCATCGGTTGCTTTTCTAGTATGTATCGAATGGATTTTTCTCGGAACTGAGTACCGGTCTGCGAAACGCCTGCTACGAAATTTTCGGTCGACCAAAAAACAGGGATGATTTCTTCATTCGTCATTCTAACGACATGACACAAAAACACACACAACACACACACATTAAATATGGAAGGAAACAAGTGCAAGCCAGCTAAAAAAGTGCAATAATGAAGATAAATTAAACTTAATTATGGAGTCGAATGAATACCGATTTAATCTATAAAAAGGAGATTAAAACCAAGTTGATTGCATATCTTTCCTGCAGGATCGGATTTATTCAATAGTGCCGTGTGCATTATCGCCCTCCAGCTCCACAGCGCCCACAAATAAGACATTTCTGCTTACTTTAGCAAAACATTTGAAGTTCAAACAGATTTCTGTTTGTAAACAAACACCAAACAGTGTAACCGTAGAGCATACATTTTGCCAACTTAGGTCACACTAGGCACCGTGCGGAATATATAGCACTTTCGGTCGACTGAAAATTTAGCGCGTCTGAGTACTAGGCTTTAATGTCAAATATTGATGGTTGCATATGACAATTATCGAAAAAATACCCCACAGAAACGTGCGAATTAGGAACATCCCAGATTGATGGTGTAAGAACTGGGAAATTTTCGGAACAGACAATCCCAAAAATGGATGGGACTACCAGTGTTTCAACACCAACAGGAATACCATTTATTTTTTTTAATTATCGGAAGTCAACCCGGCCTAAGACTAATGACATTGTTTCTGTAATTTGAGAAAAACACTGGTTGAATATCTAGGTAGTTACATATTTGGATAAATATTATATAGCTTGAGAATATAATCCAATAAAAGAAAACAATAACTAATTATAATAGCAGATTTGTATAAGCTACGAAAGTAAATAGCACTTGTTAAACTCCACCATGTGTTCGACATTGTATTGCATGTTGTATTGAAAATTAAAAATTGAATAAACGTTTGTATTAATTTAATCGTGTCATTACACCAGTGTCGAAGCAGATATGCAATAGTAATATTCATGTATGTATATAGATGTATGTACACAAAAATATTCATATTAACGAATTGACATGTTTTTCCGTTGTATGAAAATATGTTATGGAAATATGTACATACAACTTAGTCACAAAAATTGTCGGGTTGGTGTTGATCCTCGGTGCTAAGCTGTTGTGTTCTAAGCACATAAGTTGATCAATATTCAACAGGCAAGAACCATAATACCAGAATTAAAGAAGACGCCGCAGCGGGAAAATCGATCACAAATGATTGCATTGACAAAATTTAAATTGTGCTTAAATATTTTAAATGAACCCAATATACAAATAAAATGACCAGATGGGAAGTGACTCCTTACAGGAGGTTAACAATCGTAAATTAATAACTTAAAATGCCACTTTTCCCAAAAAGATTGCGTTTTGCTTTGCTGCCAACTAACAATGAATTTTTTAAATATTCGATGTAATCAGACAGGGTCCGGTTATCACTTTCACATACAATTTGTGATTTACTTTTCAGAACTGAAGGTTAGGTGGCATTAGTAAAAACGCAAAACTTTTCCGTTTTTTGAACGGCTAAGAATTCCCCGCCGAAATGAAAAGTAAACGGCTTTTTCTACAAAAAAGCGAATCTTAATTGGAAAATGGAAAAATATATGACTGATTGATGCATTGAAATGGATTTGACACCATTACCAGGGCAATTGAGCTTGTGCCCTTTTTATAAACAATTTTTTTTTTAAACTAGCCCCAAAATTGGATCTGAAACGATAAGGAACGTGTGAGTCGCTTCTACGGACGCGACTCTACTTTTATACCCGTACTCAGTCAATATATAAAGTTGTAAGCTTATGATTTATGTAGAATTTTAAAATATTCTAAATTTTTTTTTTTTTGCTACATCTGTTATCTTCATCTACAATGTCGATTGCACATCTAAAATGTAAATACATACACAATGTAGATTCTTCATCTTCTACGCAAAGGTCGCGCATTGCAGAGGACAGAGTGTGTGCCAGCGAGAAAGTGAATGAGTAGCAGCGCCGAAGGAAGCGGGGGGAGCACCTGAAAATTAATTTCTTTATTCTGGCTATAATAATGATCCGATCTGATTCAGATTCGGCAATCTGGTAGATATGGTCATTCTCTACGATACTGCGATACGATACTTTTTTGGTATCTTTAAATTTGTGGCTGCCACAGATTTTCGTGCTTTGTGGGGGCGGGACGAAATTTTGAAATACACTTGTATCACATAAGTCCGGAAACAAATTTTTGTTACTCTAGGTGTTATAGTCCCTGAGGACTATGCGCTCAACAAGACGGACGGACAGACAGACATGGCTATATCGACTCGGCTTTTGATGCTAATCAAGAATATATATACTTTATGGGGTCGGAAACATTTTCTTCTCTGCGTTACACACATCCACTTTTACCACAAATCTAATATACCTCTTAACTCTTTTTGAGTACGGGTATAATTACAAAATTGAACTTTTTCTTCCCGCTGTGGACCAAAATGACTTTTTCTGATAAATTTCTGGATTTTAAATTTTTTAAATTATATATTTTTGTATGGTTTAGTTTTTTTTTTAAGAATTTTTTAAATTTGGTATTTTTTCTAATGCTTTTGTTCAGAGGTAGTGCTTCTATTTTTAACATAACTTAGGTGGCTTATATCTGGTTGCATAGAACTTTGCAGTTCTGCAAAACGGACAAATGCAGCTATAAGTTTGAAAACCTTATTTTACCACCATTACACATTAAGCTGGTACTAATGAAAACTTTTGTTAAAGTAATGGATAAGTAAGGTGAATCGACGAGTTACCTAAAAACTTTTTTCCACGTGTCGCTGGCAAAGTTATAGAATGCGTATTTGATGGCCCCCAAATTCGAACACTACTTAAAGATGATGGATTTGAAAAAATTGTATCTACGAATGTAAAAGCAGCCTGGAACTCATTCCGACTCGTTACAACACATTTTCTTGTAACAGCAAGAGTGATGATTACTTTAATATCGTTCAAGACCTAATTGAGAGCTATGAAAAAATTGGAGTCACTAAAAATCTATTTCCTGCACTCCCACTTAGACTTTTTCCGGCAAACCTAAGGGACGTTAGTGATGAACACGGAGAGAGATTTCACCAAACAAATAAAAACTATGGAACGACGGTATCAAGGTGTTTGGAATGAGAATATGTTGGGCGACTATGTGTGGACTCTCATTAGGGAATCTGATTCTAATGACAAATGAAGACAGCCAAGTTACCGTTTTAGAAATAGTAAAAAGCAGTAACAAACCCAATTCATTACTAATCTTAAAAATATTGTAGTAACATAACACTTGAATAAAAAATTCTTTATTTTATTAAAACTTACTGAAAATTACTGATGGTTGTTTGGGTTAATACATGAAATCTTATATCTTAGCTACTTATGGGAAGTTGGACCAGCAACTTACCGGACGGTATTTTTTCAGGTAAAATGAGTTTTGAGTCGTTTTGTTCAAACGACATATTAAACAAAGCCTAGTTAATGCGCCAAAATCAAAAATTCATGCCAAGAAATATTTTTTTTTGACTTCCTTAGTTTTTTAAGTCAAAATTTTGGCAAAAAACACCGCAAAAATATTATAAAATTTGAATTTGAAAGCTTAATATCTTCCAGACGTTAAGCTTCACCTATAAAGTGTCTGGGTCGAATTTAAAGCTGAATTTGTCAGCTTGTCAGAACAGCAAAGTTCTATGCAACCAGATATAAGACACTTAAGTTATTTGAAAAATAGAAGCACTACCTCTGAAAAAAACATGAAAAAATACCAGATTTTAAAAAATTCTTAATAAAAAACTAAATTTAAAAAAAAACATAATTCTCAAAAAAATTGTAAATCCCTACATCTATCAGAAAAAGTCATTTTGGGCCACAGCGAAAATGTGTCGACTAGTGTTATTAGAATAAGCTGTGATCAAAATAATAGTAGTGCCAATAAGACTTTTAATATATCCTTAATAAAAGGACTTGCGATCACTTCACAAAAAGATTTTTAATTTTTTTAGAGACTACGTTAATTGCAGATTGGAAAAGAAGAAACTTAAGTCAAATCATCAATATTTATAGAAAAACGAGAAGGAACGTGTGAGTCGCTTCTGGGGACGCGATTCTACTTATACCCGTACTCAGTCAGTATAGACATTTTTGAGCTTTAATTTTTTAGAATTAAAAAAAAAGAACATTTTACATTTTTTTGCTACATCTGCTATCTACATCTACATATACTATGTATATTCTGCATCTAACATGTAGATTATACATGTACCATTTAAATTCTACATCTCCTCCGCTAGGGGTTGCTCGCGCACTGAACGCGGCAGAGTGTGCGAACGAGAAAGAGAATGATTAGCGTTGGCTGGGGTGGCGGGGAAAGCAACTGAAAAATATTTTCTTCATTCTGGCTATAATAATGATCCGATCTGTACCAGATACCGACAATCCTGTAGATATGGCCATTCTCTACGATACTGCGTTTTTACTTTTCTGGTATCTTTAAAATTGTGGCTGCCACCGATGTGGTGGCGAAAGGGGGCGTTGCGAAATTTTGAAATACACTTCTAGCTGTGTGATATCACATGAGTCTGGAAATAAAATTTGGTTGCTCTTGCTCTTATAGTCTCTGTTATTGTGTAATTTTTTGTTCCTTCGGTTTCATACGGTACATAAACCGTCTACAGTTTATCGTCGCAACTAGCACTCGAACCATTTGAACTGCGGAGTGGGTTTCCTTTCGTTAAGCAAGTTAAGATCTGAACACACGTCAACTGTTATCAATATTCCAGGTACTGTTTGGTCTTTGGTAAACGAGTCTAATACCCTGGTTAAATTGTCACGACATGACTTTATCGACGGCTTGCTAGACCTATCCCTGTCTCAAGTCAACCATGTGAAAAATTCCTTGGGTCGATTGCTTGATCTGTGCTTTGTCTCGGATCCGACCATAGCGTTGCTAACCCGAGCCCCTCCGCGCATTATACCTGAAGACTCCTACCCCCCCACATTCGAAGTGTCGGTCGATATTGGACCTACTGTATTGGATCGAATTGTGCACTGACGTTATTTATTATTTTTGTCCTATTATATCTGGGAAGCCTCATTGGTTTACCAAAGAGTTATCCGGTCTAAAAACTTAAAATCAAGACTTAATAAAATATTTCAAGAAAATCAAGACAATAAAATATATCAAGAAGTTGGTTCTCTGTCTCTCTCTCGCTATGTAATAGCTCGGTCAAATTTCTCCGTTTTTAACGTTCAGTGCTATCAAAACTACCTATATCGATGCAGGATACGTTTTCCATCCCCGCTATCATTTCTCCATTTGTCAGCAAACAATGATCAGGCAATTGCCAATCTTTTTGCCAAATTTTTCCAAACAACCTATTCTCATGAAAGCTACTCTGGTTAGCCGAATCCATACAGTTTACCAAGGTCGAACGGCATTTTCAGTCCCGTGTTAAATGAAAGCTCTCTGCTGTACGATCTTTGACTAAGCCGGTGTATTCACCAGGTACTGACGGAGTTCCCGGCTGTGTACTCAGGAACTTTGCCGACACTCTGTGTGGACCCCTGCTTAAACTACTCACCCTACCCATTAATTCTTCCTGCTTCCCCCCAATCTAGAAGGAATCTTTTATTATTCCGCTCCATAAGAAAGGTAGCAATTCTGATGAAAATAATTATAGAGGTATATCTAAGTTATCCGCTATTCCTAAAATGTTTGAGAAAATTTTAACTCTGCATTTGCAACATCTCGGCAAATCTCCAGCTCAGAAGGAATTTTTAAGGCGACGATCAAAAACCACAAATTTACTATAGTTCAACTCTCTTACCATTAAAGGCTTCCAAGGTAACTTGCAGACGGAAGTTATTTACACTGATTTCAGTAAAGCATTCGATTCTGTAACCCTTCTAGCACAAAAACTTGGCCTTTTAGGGTTTCCGCCTAATCTTTTGAGATAGATTTCTAGCT